AAGCAGCGAGGTGCAGAGCGTCATAAGCAGCGAGGTGCAGAGCGTCATAAGCAGCGAGGTGCAGAGCGTCATAAGCAGCGAGGTGCAGAGCGTCATAAGCAGCGAGGTGCAGAGCGTCATAAGCAGCGAGGTGCAGAGCGTCATAAGCAGCGAGGTGCAGAGCGTCATAAGCAGCGAGGTGCAGAGCGTCATAAGCAGCGAGGTGCAGAGCGTCATAAGCAGCGAGGTGCAGAGCGTCATAAGCAGCGAGGTGCAGAGCGTCATAAGCAGCGAGGTGCAGAGCGTCACAAGCAGCGAGGTGCAGAGCGTCATAAGCAGCGAGGTGCAGAGCGTCATAAGCAGCGAGGTGCAGAGCGTCATAAGCAGCGAGGTGCAGAGCGTCATAAGCAGCGAGGTGCAGAGCGTCATAAGCAGCGAGGTGCAGAGCGTCATAAGCAGCGAGGTGCAGAGCGTCATAAGCAGCGAGGTGCAGAGCGGCATAAGCAGCGAGGTGCAGAGCGTCATAAGCAGCGAGGTGCAGAGCGGCATAAGCAGCGAGGTGCAGAGCGTCATAAGCAGCGAGGTGCAGAGCGTCATAAGCAGCGAGGTGCAGAGCGTCATAAGCAGAGCGAGGTGCAGAGCGGCATAAGCAGAGCGAGGTGCAGAGCGTCATAAGCAGAGCGAGGTGCAGAGCGTCATAAGCAGCGAGGTGCAGAGCGTCACAAGCAGCGAGGTGCAGAGCGTCATAAGCAGCGAGGTGCAGAGCGTCATAAGCAGCGAGGTGCAGAGCGTCATAAGCAGCGAGGTGCAGAGCGTCATAAGCAGCGAGGTGCAGAGCGTCATAAGCAGCGAGGTGCAGAGCGTCATAAGCAGCGAGGTGCAGAGCGTCATAAGCAGCGAGGTGCAGAGCGTCATAAGCAGCGAGGTGCAGAGCGTCATAAGCAGCGAGGTGCAGAGCGTCATAAGCAGCGAGGTGCAGAGCGTCATAAGCAGCGAGGTGCAGAGCGTCATAAGCAGCGAGGTGCAGAGCGTCATAAGCAGCGAGGTGCAGAGCGTCATAAGCAGCGAGGTGCAGAGCGTCATAAGCAGCGAGGTGCAGAGCGTCATAAGCAGCGAGGTGCAGAGCGTCATAAGCAGCGAGGTGCAGAGCGTCATAAGCAGCGAGGTGCAGAGCGTCATAAGCAGCGAGGTGCAGAGCGTCATAAGCAGCGAGGTGCAGAGCGTCATAAGCAGCGAGGTGCAGAGCGTCATAAGCAGCGAGGTGCAGAGCGTCATAAGCAGCGAGGTGCAGAGCGTCATAAGCAGCGAGGTGCAGAGCGTCATAAGCAGCGAGGTGCAGAGCGTCATAAGCAGCGAGGTGCAGAGCGTCATAAGCAGCGAGGTGCAGAGCGTCATAAGCAGCGAGGTGCAGAGCGTCATAAGCAGCGAGGTGCAGAGCGTCATAAGCAGCGAGGTGCAGAGCGTCATAAGCAGCGAGGTGCAGAGCGTCATAAGCAGCGAGGTGCAGAGCGTCATAAGCAGCGAGGTGCAGAGCGTCATAAGCAGCGAGGTGCAGAGCGTCATAAGCAGCGAGGTGCAGAGCGTCATAAGCAGCGAGGTGCAGAGCGTCATAAGCAGCGAGGTGCAGAGCGTCATAAGCAGCGAGGTGCAGAGCGTCATAAGCAGCGAGGTGCAGAGCGTCATAAGCAGCGAGGTGCAGAGCGTCATAAGCAGCGAGGTGCAGAGCGTCATAAGCAGCGAGGTGCAGAGCGTCATAAGCAGCGAGGTGCAGAGCGTCATAAGCAGCGAGGTGCAGAGCGTCATAAGCAGCGAGGTGCAGAGCGTCATAAGCAGCGAGGTGCAGAGCGTCATAAGCAGCGAGGTGCAGAGCGTCATAAGCAGCGAGGTGCAGAGCGTCATAAGCAGCGAGGTGCAGAGCGTCATAAGCAGCGAGGTGCAGAGCGTCATAAGCAGCGAGGTGCAGAGCGTCATAAGCAGCGAGGTGCAGAGCGTCATAAGCAGCGAGGTGCAGAGCGTCATAAGCAGCGAGGTGCAGAGCGTCATAAGCAGCGAGGTGCAGAGCGTCATAAGCAGCGAGGTGCAGAGCGTCATAAGCAGCGAGGTGCAGAGCGTCATAAGCAGCGAGGTGCAGAGCGTCATAAGCAGCGAGGTGCAGAGCGTCATAAGCAGCGAGGTGCAGAGCGTCATAAGCAGCGAGGTGCAGAGCGTCATAAGCAGCGAGGTGCAGAGCGTCATAAGCAGCGAGGTGCAGAGCGTCATAAGCAGCGAGGTGCAGAGCGTCATAAGCAGCGAGGTGCAGAGCGTCATAAGCAGCGAGGTGCAGAGCGTCATAAGCAGCGAGGTGCAGAGCGTCATAAGCAGCGAGGTGCAGAGCGTCATAAGCAGCGAGGTGCAGAGCGTCATAAGCAGCGAGGTGCAGAGCGTCATAAGCAGCGAGGTGCAGAGCGTCATAAGCAGCGAGGTGCAGAGCGTCATAAGCAGCGAGGTGCAGAGCGTCATAAGCAGCGAGGTGCAGAGCGTCATAAGCAGCGAGGTGCAGAGCGTCATAAGCAGCGAGGTGCAGAGCGTCATAAGCAGCGAGGTGCAGAGCGTCATAAGCAGCGAGGTGCAGAGCGTCATAAGCAGCGAGGTGCAGAGCGTCATAAGCAGCGAGGTGCAGAGCGTCATAAGCAGCGAGGTGCAGAGCGTCATAAGCAGCGAGGTGCAGAGCGTCATAAGCAGCGAGGTGCAGAGCGTCATAAGCAGCGAGGTGCAGAGCGTCATAAGCAGCGAGGTGCAGAGCGTCATAAGCAGCGAGGTGCAGAGCGTCATAAGCAGCGAGGTGCAGAGCGTCATAAGCAGCGAGGTGCAGAGCGTCATAAGCAGCGAGGTGCAGAGCGTCATAAGCAGCGAGGTGCAGAGCGTCATAAGCAGCGAGGTGCAGAGCGTCATAAGCAGCGAGGTGCAGAGCGTCATAAGCAGCGAGGTGCAGAGCGTGATAAGCAGCGAGGTGCAGAGCGTGATAAGCAGCGAGGTGCAGAGCGTCATAAGCAGCGAGGTGCAGAGCGTCATAAGCAGCGAGGTGCAGAGCGTCATAAGCAGCGAGGTGCAGAGCGTCATAAGCAGCGAGGTGCAGAGCGTCATAAGCAGCGAGGTGCAGAGCGTCATAAGCAGCGAGGTGCAGAGCGTCATAAGCAGCGAGGTGCAGAGCGTCATAAGCAGCGAGGTGCAGAGCGTCATAAGCAGCGAGGTGCAGAGCGTCATAAGCAGCGAGGTGCAGAGCGTCATAAGCAGCGAGGTGCAGAGCGTCATAAGCAGCGAGGTGCAGAGCGTCATAAGCAGCGAGGTGCAGAGCGTCATAAGCAGCGAGGTGCAGAGCGTCATAAGCAGCGAGGTGCAGAGCGTCATAAGCAGCGAGGTGCAGAGCGTCATAAGCAGCGAGGTGCAGAGCGTCATAAGCAGCGAGGTGCAGAGCGTCATAAGCAGCGAGGTGCAGAGCGTCATAAGCAGCGAGGTGCAGAGCGTCATAAGCAGCGAGGTGCAGAGCGTCATAGGCAGCGAGGTGCAGAGCGTCATAAGCAGCGAGGTGCAGAGCGTCATAAGCAGCGAGGTGCAGAGCGTCATAGGCAGCGAGGTGCAGAGCGTCATAGGCAGCGAGGTGCAGAGCGTCATAGGCAGCGAGGTGCAGAGCGTCATAGGCAGCGAGGTGCAGAGCGTCATAGGCAGCGAGGTGCAGAGCGTCATAAGCAGCGAGGTGCAGAGCGTCATAAGCAGCGAGGTGCAGAGCGTCATAAGCAGCGAGGTGCAGAGCGTCATAAGCAGCGAGGTGCAGAGCGTCATAAGCAGCGAGGTGCAGAGCGTCATAAGCAGCGAGGTGCAGAGCGTCATAAGCAGCGAGGTGCAGAGCGTCATAAGCAGCGAGGTGCAGAGCGTCATAAGCAGCGAGGTGCAGAGCGTCATAAGCAGCGAGGTGCAGAGCGTCATAGGCAGCGAGGTGCAGAGCGTCATAAGCAGCGAGGTGCAGAGCGTCATAAGCAGCGAGGTGCAGAGCGTCATAGGCAGCGAGGTGCAGAGCGTCATAGGCAGCGAGGTGCAGAGCGTCATAGGCAGCGAGGTGCAGAGCGTCATAGGCAGCGAGGTGCAGAGCGTCATAGGCAGCGAGGTGCAGAGCGTCATAAGCAGCGAGGTGCAGAGCGTCATAAGCAGCGAGGTGCAGAGCGTCATAAGCAGCGAGGTGCAGAGCGTCATAGGCAGCGAGGTGCAGAGCGTCATAGGCAGCGAGGTGCAGAGCGTCATAGGCAGCGAGGTGCAGAGCGTCATAGGCAGCGAGGTGCAGAGCGTCATAGGCAGCGAGGTGCAGAGCGTCATAGGCAGCGAGGTGCAGAGCGTCATAGGCAGCGAGGTGCAGAGCGTCATAGGCAGCGAGGTGCAGAGCGTCATAGGCAGCGAGGTGCAGAGCGTCATAGGCAGCGAGGTGCAGAGCGTCATAGGCAGCGAGGTGCAGAGCGTCATAGGCAGCGAGGTGCAGAGCGTCATAGGCAGCGAGGTGCAGAGCGTCATAGGCAGCGAGGTGAAGGGCTCATGTGTGGGGATTGAGTGCGGGTGTGGGGAACAGGTGGAGAGGGGTAGGCAGAGGCGGGGGTGGGCGGGGGGGTTGGTTGGGAGGAGTGAAAGGAAAGGGAGGGGGTCTCTCCTCCCCGTCCCCTCACTCACACCTCTTCCATTCGACCTCTCCCTGTTCCTACCTTCCTACCTATCTCTCGCCCTCATGAGGCGCGCACCCACCAGCAGGGCGGAAGGCAAAGATCTAGCCCAGGCTTCTTTTGAGTCGACTCAAAAGCACATCTCCCTGTTCCTACCTTCCTACCTATCTCTCTCTCTCCCTCATGAGGCGCGCACCAGCAGGGCAGAAGGCAAAGATCTAGCCCAGGCTGTAATGGCCTGCTGCACAGAAGAGTCCTTGGGGCAGTAACCCAAGGGATTGTTATGTTAAGGCGCTTGCAGTCTTACCAGCAGACGATACGATACGATATGATACGCACCTGCAGGGCGGAGAGAGCTGTGTTGGCTCTGGCCTTGATGGCCTGCTGAACGTCCACTAGCCGCGCTGTGGGCACGTCAAACGGTAGCGTGCCCAGCATGCCCTGTGCCGGTGGATGGCGTGTGGGGGGAGGACGTGAGGAGTTTTGAGACGTCTCAAAAACAGGTAGCGTGCCCAGCATGCCCTGTGCCGGTGGATGGCGTGTGGTGGGAGGACGTGAGGAGGAAAGGAAGGAGGGGCGGAGAGAGAAAGGGGAGAGGGCAACAGGTGAAAGAATCACGACATGGCTTGATTGGGCGCGGTTTGCATTAAGCCAAAACGTAACACCTCTTCCCCTCTCTTCCCTCCCCTCCTTCCCCTCCCTCTCCTCCCTCCCCTCCCTCCCTCGCCCTCCTCGCTCCTCTCGCTCCCAATCCTATTATCCCTGCCCTCCCGGCCCTCCCTGGCACGCACCTCGCAGCCGACGAGGATGGGGGAGAGAGCGCGGTCAGTGGAGAGCACAGACATGACGCCCGCCGTGGCGATCCACACATACCCCGCCGTGAACAGCCCCAGCTGCGCCGCTGCCAATGAGAGAAGGAGGGGGGAAAAGGAGGGTGCAGAGGAGAAAGAATGTTTAAGTCGAGTCAGGAAAGCAGCACAGACATGACGCCCGCTGTGGCGATCCACACATACCCCGCCGTGAACAGCCCCAGTTGCACCGCTGCCAGTGCATGTGTGCAGGTGCAGTGTGGGTGAGGGTGGGGGTGGGGGTGGGGGTGGTGGTGGTGGTGGTGGGGTGGGGGTGGTGGTGGGGGTGGTGGTGGGGGTGCATGTGCACGTGCGTGTGCACGTGCGTGTGCACGTGCGTGTGCATGTGCGTGTGCACGTGCGTGTGCATGTGCATGTGCGTGTGCATGTGCATATGCGGGTACGGATGCAAGCAGACTGCCAACGTGCACGTGCACATGCGCATGCGCGTGTGAGAGCAGGGCGGGGCAGGGCAGGGCGGGGCAGGGAAGAGCACCTGTTTTGAGGACGATGCGAATGGTGGTGGGGCTGTGCAGGTGCAGCACGAACACCGACGCCTCCACTGCCCGCACCTGCAGGAACGCCGCCATCACGTCCGTCTCTGCACTCACTGCGCTGTCAAACTGCCATGATGCCACCACCCGTGCCGTGCCCTGGGGATTGGGGAAAGGGTAGGAAGAACGCGTGAAGCAGGAACGCCGCCATCACGTCCGTCTCCGCGCTCACTGCGCTGTCAAACTGCCACGATGCCACCACCCGCGCCGTGCCCTGCAGGGGAAAGGAGATGAGAGGGGACGATTCGTTTCTTCCAGCGAGCAGTGCCGCCGTCACATGTGTCTCTGCACTCACTGCGCTGCCAAACTGCCCTGATGCCATGCTTTGTGGGGTGTGGAAAGAGGGGGTGCAAAGGCGTGGCTGCAGGAAAGGGGGGGGTTGGGGGAGATGGGCAGGGTCAGGGGGGGGGGAGGGGGTGGTGAGGAACAAGGGGAGATGGGATGAGAGGGAAGTGAGGGAGGAGGATGACTCGTTTTGTCAAACTGCCACGATGCCACCACCCGCGCCATGACCTGAGGAGGGGGGAGAGAGGGGGTGGAAAAAGGTGAAGAGGGACAAGGGGTTGGGGAAGAGATGAGCAGGGTAGGAGGAGTTGGGATGGGGGGAGATGGTACGGGGGAGATGAGTGGGAGGGGGATAAATGAGTGAGGGGTGATAGTGGCAGTGATGGCAGGCAACCAGGGGGGGGGGGGGGGGGGGGGTACTGACCCGCTGTTGCAGCAGGCGAGTGAGGGACTGGAAGCCGTTCCATGCGCTGTCAGTGCTCTCAAACAGCGCCACCACTTGCGTCCAGTTGTAGAACCCCACCAGGTCTGATGCCCATGCAGTGACATGCCATGCCATGCCATGCCATGCCATGCCATGCCATGCCAATGCAATAAAGCCAGTGTCATGCCATGCGACACGCCATGCCATGCGGTACAGTATGTGTCCAGCCGGCACGACGAGAGGGAAGAGGGCACGACGTGTGAGCGCGATAGGTGTAACTGAGAGTCGATGGGGTCGCCGCAATGGGGTCGCAACGGCCATGCAGCAGTCAGCTAGGGGGAAAGGCACAGGGACGAAGCCACAGGCATGGAAGACTAGGAGGAGGCAGGGGGGAAAGGAAGAAGCGAAGTTGGAAGGTGTGTTGGGGGGGGGGGGGGGGGGGTTGTTGGGGGGGAGGGGAGGACGAGGGGAAGCACAAAAGCAGTGCTCTCGCTTGCTCCCTGGCTGGCTGGGTGGCGGGCTGGGTGGGTGGGTGGCAGGTGTGCACGCACCAGCAACAACGGCCATTTGGGCATAGTCGTCGTAGTGCACGCGCACAAAGTAGGGCAGCTGCGTGTTCGCGTTCAGCAGCAGCAGCGGGCCTGTGTGCCATGGTAGCGAGCGAGGTGACTTTTGAGCCGACTCACCAGCAACAACAGCCATCTGAGCGTAGTCGTCGTAGTGCACGCGCACAAAGTAGGGCAGCTGCGCGTTGGCGTTCAGCAGCAGCGGGCCTGTGTGCCATGGTAGCGAGGTGACTTTTGAGCCGACTCACCAGCAACAACAGCCATCTGAGCGTAGTCATCGTAGTGCACGCGCACAAAGTAGGGAAGCTGCGCGTTCGCGTTCAGCAGCGGGTCCGTTGCCGCGTATGCTAGCAACGGCACCTGCAGGGGGGGGGCCACGATGAGGGTCGGACGGGGGAGAAGATGGGGGGATAGATAGGGGCATGGGGTTGGGATGGGGGGTTCTCACCAGCGGGTCCGTTGCTGCTGCGTATGGTAGCATCAGCACTTGAGGGGCGCGCCATGGGGGATGAGGAGGGAGGGAGGAGGGGGTGAGGGGGGCAGTGAGGGGCGGAACTTGGCGGGTGGGGAGGAGCTGAGCCTGAGATAGGAAGGGGGAGTGGAGTGGGAAGAAACGAAGGAGACGACTTGAGACAGGGACAGCAAGGATAAGGGGCGACAAGGAGACTCGTTTGTTTTCTTCTGCTATATGAGCCACCAGTGCGTCGCAGTCCGGTTTGGTCCGGTAATTACATTCCTATAAACATCCCATCCCATGTATGTGTAAGGCGGCCGCGAGCGAGCGAAGGAGCAACGTGCCTGAACGGCGGTGAGCATCAAGCGAGTGAGCGAGTGAGGGAGCGAGCGAGCGAGGGGAGGACGAGCGAGCGAGGGAGGGAGCGAGCGAGCAAGGGAGGGAGGGAGTGAGCGAGCGAGAGAGAGAGCGAGCGAGCGAGCGAGAGAGCGAGCGAGGGAGGGAGGGAGTGAGCGAGCGAGAGAGAGAGAGAGAGCGAGCGAGCGAGCGAGAGAGCGAGCGAGGGAGGGAGGGAGTGAGCGAGCGAGAGAGAGAGCAAGCGAGCGAGAGAGCGAGTGAGGGAGGGAGGGAGTGAGCGAGCGAGAGAGAGAGCGAGCGAGCGAGCGAGAGAGCGAGTGAGGGAGGGAGGGAGTGAGCGAGCGAGCGAGAGAGCGAGCGAGGGAGGGAGTGAGCGGCGTGCCTGCATGGCAGAGGCGATGGGGCCGACAACGGAGGTCTGCAGGGACGTGGATGGGCCCAGCAGCACCGATGGGGGCGGCGTCCCCAGTAGCAGATCCAACGCTGCGAGGAGGGATACGGACGGGGAGAGGCGGGATGGAGGACAGGGGAAGTGGGGAGGGGAAGGAAGGAAGAAGGGGAAGGGAAGGGGGGAGTGAAAGGAAAGTGGAAGGGGAAGGGAAGGGGGGGGGGGGGAAGGGGGAAGGGGGAGCGTAGAGGTTCATTTGGAAGGGAAGGAAAGATTCTTGGAATAAGGGACGACATTCAAATGATTCCATTCGGAATGAACAGAAGGGACCTGGAGAGAGGACAGGTGATTGGCGTTCGGGGGAGGGAGCAAGGAACAAGACGGGGGGAGGAGGCGAAGCGAAGGTGGGCGAGAGGGCACAGCATTGCATCGCCATGTTAGACATGTTAAGCGGAATATAATATTCCGACCGTCAAAAATAACCATTCCGTCATCGCCATACTCTCACCACCCATCCCATCATCACCCCCCCCCTCCACACCCTCCCCTCATCACCCCCCTCGCCCCTCCCCTCCCTCTCTTTCTCTCACCGGCAGCCTCGGCCTGGAAGGCGTCGGCAGCACTGGCGTTGGCAAAGTCGAGCGCCAGCGGCGCGGGGGACGCGGGGGGCGTCAGGTGTTCCACCGCCAGCTCCATGGCTGCGCGCACCGTGGGGGGAACGGGGGGAGGGGGAGGGAGGGGAGCGGAAATGGAAGGGAGCGTGGAGGCGGGGGTATCTGAGTCGACTCGAACTGCACCTGGGGGCGTGAGATGCTCCACTGCTAGCTCCATGGCTGCGCGCACCGTCGGGGAACGGGGGGGGACGGTGGGGGGACGGTGTGGGGGACGGCGGGGGGGCGGTGGGGGAGACGGTGGAGGGACGGTGGGGGGAAAGGGGGAGGGAGCGGAAAGGAAGCGAGGGGAGGGGGTACTTGAGTCGACTCAAACCACACCTGGGGACGCGGCCGGGAAAGGGGAAAGAAGGAAGGAGGGAGGGGTGCGGGGGGAAGAGTGGGGTCTACGCGTCGTTCACTCACCCGAGCACTTTCACTCAGCAGACGCGTCGTTCGCTCCGCACACGCGTCTTTTGCTTAGCAGACGCGGCGCACAGCACACACGGCAGCCGCAACGGCTGGCGGGATTCACGCGCGCGGGGCTCCGCGTGGGACACGCGCAGCCGCAGTTACCAGCGACGTGATGAAACTTTTGTTTTGAGACGTCTCAAAACAACGGCTTGCTGGATTTACGCGCGCAGGGCTCCGCGTGGGACACTCGCGCGTGACTTCGCGTAAGACGCGCGAGACGCCGTTACCAGCGACGTTACGCACCAGCTGTAACCAGGTCACCCGCCGGAGTGCCCGCGCTGACGAGACAGCCAATCACCAACGGCCGCCTCTGCGGCTGCGGCTGCTGGGAAATCCCAGTCAGTGCGACGTTGCCGTGCATTGCTATATGCCGCTCGGCTCTCCATTTGGACTCTAAGTGAATACTCGCGTGTGATGATATGGGAGGAGGGGAAAAAGCCGACGCGCGGAGCAGGAGCGGCGAGAGGAGCGAGAGGAGCAGCAGCGGAGAGAGACGAGGCTGTAATCGCGGAGACAGTTCGCGGCGAAGCTGATTTTGGTCACTGTTGTCGCACCGAGAATTGCAGAATCGCTGGCTCCGGCGCCATGGATATCTAGGGTTGCTTAGGCGGCAGTCCTGAGCCATAGCTGCAGCTAGGAATCACACTGTCGTGTCGGCATTACGGCACGTGACTACAGTCTAGTAATACTAGTTTTTGTCATGGGTTCAATTGCGTACCCCAGTGCTGCTGATGCTGTTGCTCGTGTGCTCTTGTTTGGAAGATTTTGCTCGAAGCACTCATGTCACCACTCACGAGTCACGACGAGAGGTTGATGAAAGCAGAAAGGGGCACGGGAGGCGAATGAACGTCAGGAAATTTTACCCTGCCCAGCATGTTTCCTGTGTAATCACCATTTGCTAGGCAGTCAGATATCCCCACAGGGCTAGATTGACCTATGTAAATATTTACTTTCCACAAGCGGGTTCGTCAACAAAATATATTGCCGTACTTGTTTCCACCACGGACGGGTAGAAAGGAATTTGAGGCATAGCGGAGCACGCCGAACCTGCACAGTTCACCATGTTGACTGCCAACTTGTACAGCACTGTAAAAGCATCCAAACAAAGGATACAGAACCGATGTGTGGACAGTTTCGTACTTTCAATTAGTCCTCCATTGCACGTTTCTATATGCGGTACAACCCTTTTATTAATCAGAACACCAACCCTGCATCATCAGTACATGTCCCCTAGAAATGTACCTTCTTCCTTTTGGCAGCAACCAACCTGCCAAGCCTTGATAAAGAACTTAACTGTATTGAATTGAATTTTGTTTTTTTAGAGTCCTGATTTTCCTATTTACTGTAATTCATGAAGGAACTGAGAACTGGCCATTATAATTTTCAGAGTTTTTTATAAGCTCTAAAATTTGGACTACTGGCACATAATCATGATAAAATGGACCTTAGCTAATCATAGAGGCGTGGGCGTGCAAATTCAGATGGCAAGAGGGATGTATTTGGGTAGAGCGTGTCATTCCAAGGGTTGGGGCTGTACTAGATGTGGTGTAAATCTAGTGAAGGAACGGAAAGGCCCTTTCAAGTCTGGTTCACGCTATAAAGCGGTGAATAACAAAGGCCTTCCAGGCAACTCCGAACCTTGGAAACCCCTTGCGCCTCGAGCACGCTGACAAGAATGGGCTCGTTCGGACGGTTCTCGCTGGCCCGGGAAACTTCAGGTAACCGAGCCAAAGCACCCAGCTTGGCTTCGTCTGAAATACCTCAGCCACTTTCCGAACCGAAACGTCAGACGTCCAACCACAAACCGTGATAGGCTTGTTGTGAGCTGTCGTCAGCTCCAATTCTCCATAGAGGGTGTCCGCATGTATGGATTTGAACGTTTCTACCCGTTTTTAGCCATACTGGACTCGCCCCAACTGGGAAACATAGAAAGTACCCACCCTATTTGTTGAAATCCAAGCTTGTATACCAGAACTGAGGACGGGGCTGGATTTGACACTCTGCCTATAGGCCGGAACCGTGAGGAAGGGCGTCTAGTGGGAGGAGTGATGAGGTAACCCGCTTTCCTGTACTAGGGAAGGCTACATTTCGAATTCGGCTCGGGCTCCTTGCAAGTCCTAAAATGCGGGGAAGGGAAACCACCCGTCCAACGCCGGCCATGTCCAACCCCATGCCACGAATCTGATGATGAGATCTAGGAATGACCCGCACGCCGTGATCACAGAGAGAGCTTGAATCATGTGTGCTGCTTTGTAGACGCAACTGGTTGTCCTGCACCAACACACGAATCCAAGGACCTGCATTCCTTGGTTCGCTGATGCTGGAGGAGGTTCCATTCACAACGACACATCCTCCTGCATGAGGGTAGGAGCGGAGGACCAGGACTTCCGTACTTCGTTGCCGTCGTCTCATCTAATGTATTGAATTGCTGTCTCTCTCGCGGCCTTCGGCTCCGGCTGTGGGGATTCAGGAGGATCTTGAGGGTTTGCATGAAACGTCATCTGGAGTCGTCAGTACGAGATCGCGTGCAATAAATTTGGCATTTCGAGTACTGCGAGATGGGAAGATTCCCCGCATTGCTGGGGCTTGCGACCGTGGTTCTCGTTGTCGTGTCCCTCTCTACGTTCTCAACCGAATGCGTTGCTCAAGATTCACGGTCAATTACTGGAATCGACGGCAGCAAGGAGCTGGCAGATTTCGCTTCTGACGGTAGCCGCCGGATCTCGTCGGGTCAACGGTGGTTGTTGGCTGCTGCCGATGACGAGGAGGAGGCAGAAGGGGGGGATGACGAAGCTACCGGCGCGCGCGATAAGGATTCCGACGATAAGGCGGAATCTGCTGCATCGGAGGAGGAGGAGGAGAGCGAAGAAGAAGCTCCCGTGAAGAAGAAATCCGGCGTGAAAAAGGCACTGATTAAGACGAAATTAAAGAAGGAAGTCGAGGAGGAAGAGGCGGAGGAGGAACCTGAGAAGCCAACCGCACGAAAGAGCTCTTTGATGAAATCGAAGAGGAAGAGCGCGGATGCGGATGAGGAGGAGGAGGCGGAGAAGGAGGTGAAGGTGGAGACAGGTGCGGACGGTGGTAGCAAAGAGACGGACGCGGAGGAGGAGGAAGATTCGGCGGAGGAGGTCACGCCGAAGAAGAGCAAGGCGTCGAAGGTGACGACGACGACGACGACTGGCTTGAGCAAGAAGAAGCGAGGCGCTGAAGAGGAGGAGGAGGAGAAGGAGGGTGGGAACGAGGGAGGAGAAGAAGAGGAAACCACAAGCGTGAAGACGAAGAAGAGCGTTAAGAAACCGTCCGCTTCTGCCGCTGCTGCTGCTGCGGATGAGGAGGAAGAGGATGGCGCGGCGGTGGGTGGAAAGAAGGCCGGCGGGGATGAGACTGAGGCTGCTGATGCAGACGCTGACGCGGACGACGCAGAGACGGACGGAGGCGCTGGTGGCGGCGCTAAGGCGAAGCGCAGCAGCAAGGTCGTCAAGCCGAAGGGCAAGGCGGCGAAGGTGGAAGAGGAGGAGAGCACGGCAGACGAGGGAGGGGAGGAAGAGGCGGCGGAGGATGCTGCTGGCGGGAAAGCAAAGGGCGGAGTGGGTAAGGAGTCGGAGTCGGAGGAGGGGTCTAGCGATGGCGGGGAGGAGGAGGAGGAGGAAGCGCGCGTGGTAAAGAAGACACCGAAGACTGAGGAAAAGGTGGTGGAGGAGGAAGAGGAGGGGACGGCAGCTGCTGCTGCTGGGGGCGAAGGGGAGGGAGAAGGGGACGGAGAGGAAGCTGTAGAGGAAAAGGGAGAGGCAGGTGGAGATGGACAGGGCCGAGGAGGTGGGGCTAAAGGTTCTGTGGGGAAGAAAGCGGTAGCGGAAGAGGAGGAGGAGGGCAGTGGCGGTAAATCTGCCGGTGGTGAGGTGGAGGGTGAGGGAGAAGCGGCGGATAAGGCTGCTGACGATAGTGGCATCGCTGCTGCTGGTGCTGGTGCTGCTGCTGGTGCGGCTGCTGTAACGGACCAGGACGAGCAGAAGGAGCAGCAGGAGCAGCAGCAGGAGGAGCAGGAGGAGAAGCAGCAGGAGCAGAAGGCAGGCGGAACCAAGGAAGACTCTTCCAAAACCCCAACCGCGGAAGAGCAGGAGGACAAGCAGGAACCCGCGCCGGAGCAAGAAGCTGAAGCAGACGCGGAGTCGTTCCCGCCCTGCGACGCCGCCCTAACCGACTACACGCCATGCGAGGACGTGAAACGATCCCTCGCGTTCCCCCGCAAGATGTATGAGTATCGCGAGAGGCACTGCCCGCCGCCGTCCAACGCGCTATCGTGCCTCGTGTCCCCGCCTGTGGGGTACCGCAGCCCGCCAAAGTGGCCGGAGAGCCGCGACTGGGCGTGGTACGCGAACGTGCCGTATAAGCACCTGACGGAGGAGAAGGCGGGGCAGAACTGGGTGCGGTACGAGCAGCAGCAGCAGAAGTTTGTGTTTCCGGGCGGTGGGACTATGTTTCCCAAGGGCGCGGACGCGTATGTGAAGGGGCTGGGGAAGCTGATTGCGGACTTTGGGAACGGGTCTGTGCGCACGGTGGTGGATACTGGATGCGGGGTGAGTTGCTGTGTGGAGCAGGTGGGGATCGAGGGGAAGATTTTCGTGGGATTTGTTTGGATGGGAAAACGTGCGCTTTGTGTGGTTTCTGCTGGATGGGTTGCGCGCAGAGGGTTGGCGGATTTGGAAGGGAGGTGGATGTGAGGGAACGAAGGGGAGGGAGGGTCGGGTAGGAAGGGAGTCAAGGGAAGTGGAGTTGGCTAGGTGCTAATCCATCATGGTCTCATCAAAACCACCCCACCTACTCTACCCCCAACCTCCTCTTCTCTCTCCCCTGTACCGCTTCTCCCTCGATCTCAGCCCCCTCCACTTCCTCCCCACGGCTTCCCCTCTCCCAACTCCAATTCCCCTGTCTCCCTCCCTCAACCCAGCTTTCTCCCTCCCCCAACCCCCCCCACTCTCCCTCCCTTAACCCCCCGCTCCCCCTCTCCCAACCCCATTCTTTCCCTCCCGATCCCCCCACCTTTGCCACTCTCCCTCCGCCCCGCCCTCTCCCCTCCCCCCCACCCCACTTCCTCGCTCTTCCCTAACCCCCTCCCCTGCCCCCGCAGGTGGCGAGCTTCGGGGCGGCCCTGCTGAGTCACAACATGGTGGCGATGTCGTTCGCCCCGCGCGACACGCACGAGGCGCAGGTGCAGTTCGCGCTGGAGCGCGGCGTGCCCGCCATGCTGGGCATCATGGCCACCAAGCGCCAGCCATATCCGGCTAGGGCGTTCGACCTCGCGCACTGCTCGCGCTGCCTCATCCCGTGGTCCATTGAAGGTGAGTGGGTGGGAGGGAGAGTGGGGGAGGGGAGGGGGGATGGGAGGGTGGGAGGAGGAGGGGGGTGGAAGGGAGAGGGGGGGAGGGGAGGGGGGGAGGGGAGGGGGAATGGGAGGGTGGGAGAGAGGGGGAGGGGGGGAGGGAGAGAGATTGGCAAAGGTGACAGGAGGAGGGTGAGTGATGGACAGACAGAGGGGCTTATGGACAATCATGAACGCAACTCTACATGTGTCATCCATTCCCCCGCGTTGCTCCCTTTCCCCCCAAGCCTCTCCCCCTTTTTTTCTTTTCTCCTTCCTCTTTCCGTCTCCTCTCCTGTCCTCCGCATCTCCCCACATTCACCATCCCAGCAACTCACTTCAAACTTACCCTCTTCAGCCCCTCTCCCCACAGCTTCACATCATATCAAAGGAAACCGGCTTCACAGCGCACCCTCTCCCTCTCCCACCCCGTGCTCCCTACTCCCCAGGCGGGCTCTACCTCATCGAAGTCGACCGGCTGCTCCGCCCCGGCGGCTACTGGGTACTCTCAGGCCCGCCGGTGGACTGGCAGCACCACAACAAGCACTGGGGCAAGCCGGAATCCGAGATGCGCGCACAGGAGGACGGGATAATCGCCGTCGCCACGGCGCTCTGCTGGCGCAAGGTCGGGCAGAAGGACGCTGTAGCCGTGTGGCAGAAGCGCGCAGACGACTCGTGCTTTGCTGGGAAGAAGGGCGAGGCGAGGAGGAGGAGGTTGGGAGAGCTCGTGGGAGAAGGGGCGGCACGGCGCGTGCTGGCAGGAGCGGGAGGAGGGGGGGGAGTGGATGGGGCGGTGGCGGATTTGCGGCTGGAGTTGTGCCCTGAGTCGGACAATCCCGATGATGCCTGGTATACTCCCATGAAGCGCTGCGTCTCCCGCGCCCCGCTCTCCTCCACCCCCCTCGCGCCCTGGCCCAAGCGCCTCGCTCAAGCCCCCCCTCGCATCAAGCGCGCCTCTGCCTCCGCCGACGCCGCTGCTGCTTCTGACGGCGCTGCAGCCAACAGTAAACCCCTCGTTAAGAGGTTCCTGAACAGCCTGCGCAGGTGGACGAAGCGAGTGGCGTGGTACAAGGAGGCTGTGCTCCCAGCCCTGGGCCAGGGCAGGTACCGGAACATCATGGACATGAATGCAGGGATCGGGTCGTTCGCAGCTGCTCTTGCTGGCGACCCTGTGTGGGTGATGAACGTGGTTCCTGTTGAGACTCCCGCGGAGGTTGGGGAGCAGGCGCGGAAAGCAGGGAAGGGGGAGGATGGCGTGGGCGCGGCGGGGCTGCCGGGGTACCAGTGGAGGGTGTCTGCCAAGACGGAGGCTCTGGGCCTGCCACCGGGGGAGGCGCTGGGGGTTATCTATGAGCGAGGATTGATTGGCACGTACCAGGACTGGTAGGTTCTTTTGTTGGGGAAACAGGGGAAGGGGAAGGGAGAGGGGGGGGCGGGGGTAGGGGAAGGGAGGGGGGGGCGGGGGGGGCAAGGGAGTTGTTCTGGGTTCCGCCTTTCACTTCTCTGTCACTCTTCCTTTTCTTGCTTTGGTTCTCTCGTCTCTTGCATGACTGTTCTTTCTCGCCGAGTTTGCACGGGTTGGGCTGGCTGCTTATCCCATGACACTGCTTTATCCAGATGCGTTGCGGCAGCTGAACAGCTACTGTCATGTTCCATCGCTCAGAAGCTAGTCTGTACTGTGCCTTCACAGCTGTTGCTCATCCCCTCCACCTGCATCTCTCACATCGTTCTCTGCTCTCCCTCCCCACCCCCTCCTCTCTTGCTCGCTCGTCTCTTGTGAATCCCCTACCGCGCCTGCGTGTCCTGTCCATGCCGTAGGTGTGAGCCGTTCTCCACCTACCCCCGCACCTACGACCTCATCCATGCCGCTTGGCTCTTCTCTGCACTCTCTAAAAGGTGAGATCAAAAGGGAATAGAATAATCCATTTCAACAGTCAAGTTCACGAGACACAGTGGGTTCTGTGCTTGAATCTGTCAGATGATTTGCTTGCAGAGAGTCCCTTTTGAGAGTTCTCTATGGTGACCCAACCCAACCCGACCCCACACATGCATCATAGATCGCATCCCTAAACCTTGTCCATTTTTAGCAGGTTCCGTCTTGTCACACTTAAGAATCCCCGGCATCTGGCACGAGTTGACGTGACACCACCCTGATTCAATCCAGCCATCCAGCCCTCTCGCTGTCTTACCACCACGCCTCCCTCCTCCATTCACACATCCGTCCCACCTGCCAACGCCCCTCTCCCTCCCTCTCTCTGCTCCTTTTCTCTTTCTCCCGGCCCACCCCCCACCAGGTGTGACGTGGGGGTGGTGTTGAGGGAAATGGACCGTGTGCTCAGGCCAGAGGGCGCAGTCATCTTCTGAGGCGACTCTAAAGTCACCTGCCAAACCCCCCTCCCTCTCCCTCCCTTGTCTCCTTTCCTCCAACCCACCCCCCACCAGGTGTGAGGTGCAGGTGGTGTTGAGGGAAATGGACCGGGTGCTCAGGCCAGAGGGGGCAGTCATCTTCCGAGGCGACTCAAAAGTCACCTGCCAAACCCCCCTCCCTCTCCCTCCCTTGTCTCCTTTCCTCCAACCCACCCCCCACCAGGTGTGACGTGGGGATGGTGTTGAGGGAGATGGACCGTGTGCTCAGGCCAGAGGGCGCAGTCATCTTCCGGGACAGCCACGCCATTCTCAAGCAGATCCAGCCCCTCGCCAAGCGCCTGCGCTGGGACGCGCGCTTTGAGGCCAACAGGCCTGGGGGCAGTGGGCGCATTCTCGTGTGCGTGAAGAAGTACTGGGTGGAAGGGTAGAGTGGAGTGAAGTGGAATGGTGCGTGTGAGCCACAGCAGCCTGGTTCGGAGGCACGGAGGAAATTTGCCTGGGGGCAGCGGGGGCATTCTTGTGTGTGTGAAGAAGTACTGGGTGGAAGGGTAGAGTGGAACAGTGCGTGTGAGTGTGAGAGAGTAGCAGCGGTCAGGTTCGGAGGTGCGGAGGAAATTTGCCTGGGGGCAGCGGGGCCGTTCTAGTGTGTGTGTGTGTGTGTGTCAAGAAATTCTGGGTGGAAGGGTGGAGTGGAACGGGGCGTGTGTGTGAGAGAGAGTAGCAGCAGTGTGTTTCTGAGGCGCGGAGGAAGTGCCGTGCGTGCATTGCAGGGGGGGTTTTCTGTCTTCTCCTCTTGCGTGGAGAAGTACTGTGTGGAAGGAAGGGCGGAGTGGGTTGGTGTGCGTGTGTGCGGTGCCACTAGTCGCATCGCGGCGGAGCGGCATGTTGCCGTGTTGTGCTATGATGAGAGATGAGTGGTGTTGCTGCTGTGCTTGCGAGAAAGCTGCCATGCCAAGCCAATAGTGAGAGCTACCGTACGATGAATCGATGATGTGTTGTGTTGCGATGTTGTGAATTATGGTGACGACATGACAATCAATTTTGACGCCAATTTTGATACGAGTCGCCACAGGAATGTACCGTACCACCAGCCCACCCAACCTAACAAATAACCCACGGGATATAGAATATAGTACACAAATGCTGACAGGCTATTTCTAACAACCATCATGCACTATTACTCACTCGCATACCTGTGTGCCCCAGCATGCTGCATAAAAAGACAGCTCCAAATGTCAGGTAGAATGTGCAAAGGAACAGGGCAGGGGTTTGCTTGTGTGATCACGCCAAACCACACCATGGCGCTGGTCGCAGCAGCAGATAGACTACCGGTATTAGCTGCGTGCGCGGCAGAGCTGTGAGTTTCGAGACGTTCGAAGAGATAGACTAGTAACCTGTGTGCACGGCAGACTTTAGAATGACTTGGCTCATGAACGGCTTCACAGTGGTGGACGACACGAAGCCAAAGTAGAACGCCTGCAGCTGCTCCTCCTCCCCTCCCCGCAGCACCTCGCACAGCGACAGCCGCCTCTCCAGCACCGGCTTGACCGGCTTCACCGTCCTCTTCACTAGCCTCTTCCCTGCCCGTGTCACCGTCTCCTTTGCCAGAAAGACCTGAATGGTGCCGGGATCGTCAGGCTCGTAGTCCACCCATGCCGTGTATGCCTGCTTGTTGGCCAGCGGGAACGGGGACTTCACAGCAGCAATGGACTTGTCCTGCCCGTTGATATTCAGCCCCACGTGTTGCTCTTTCATGTCGCCGTGCGGCTTGTTCTGAAGGACGTCAAACTCGATCGCCATGCTGCGAGGGTCCATCCCGCCGTACCCCACTCCATCGCTGCTCCCCAATGTGGTTGTCGCCGACACCACAAACGCAAACCCGTTCGAAGCGGCCTTGCCTTTGGGCGAGAGGGAGAAGGTGAAGTTGACATTAAAGGGCAGCTCGAACCCGCACCCTTGGTCCTCCCGGCCTTTCTCAAACACGAACAGGGTCACTGGTGCTTCTGTGAACGCCCCTTTGGTTTCCTTCCTCGTCCCCTTGGTGAGCACGGTTGCTGGCGGGAAATGTTCCTGCCCAGCCGGGGGGTTAGGACCGAGCCTGGAGAGTATGGAAAATAGGTGAGGGAGGGAGGAAGTAAAGGAAGGTTGGGATGAGGGGAATGGGAAGGGGTGAAAGTACACATGGGCGAAGTAACGAGGCGAGCTACACCCGCTTCGTTTGTAGCGATGCAGAGTTGGAATCACTCGGCCTTCTAGCGATGTTAACCAAGTAGCGATTCGAGGCAGGTAAAACTTGTGTGGGTTAAGAAAAAAACTTGCCCACAGGCAAGTTATACTAACCTTGTGTCCATATGGGCCCTGAATATTAAGGTCCCACACCCTGAGCCGAAAAAAGCTCTCTCGCTGGGTACTACCGCCGCCGACCAATGCAAAAAGTCATAACTCGTCCCCAACGAGTTCTGCCGGTCGAGGCGAGCCGAAAGCTTGCCTCATTCACATGAGCTTGCCGAAAGCTCATGTCTAGGTGAAAGGAATTGGTCTCAATATACGTAACGATAAACACGTGCTTGCAATGAGGCGAGTTTTCTGGCTCACCTTCACACACCCTCACCTTCCACATGGCAGTAGAACTGTCCAAAACTGATGAACCCCGCGTCGCACCAGCACATGGGGTCCAAGCTATCCCCGACGGGAAAGCACAGCCCATGGCCACCACACGCAGCACCACCAGCAACAGCATCAGCGCGCATGGAGATCCCACAGAACGCCTGGCAGGCTGCCTCGGGCCGCTGCGGTGCCAGCCAGGTGGCCCCCGCAGGTGAAGCGGTGAAGCAGTTGGCTCCCAGCGAGACAGAACTCTGCTCCTCGCTTAGAACGCCCGAGAGGTAGTTGCTGGATAGGTCTGCACGAAAGCCAGCAGGGTTCACTATGGGGCCTGTGAGGTAGTTGTGGGAGAGGTCGCTGTGGGGAGAGCGGAGGGGGATGGGCGGGGAAGGGGGAGAAAGAGGTGGTGGGAAGCAGGGTAGGCAGCCGAGGAAGGTTATGGTAAAGTGTCTCTGTAGGCCCCAGTGAGTTTGAAATGACAGTTGGGTTCTTGGGACCGGGGGTATGATATAAGTAGTAAGTGTGGTATGGTTGTTGTTAGGTGTGAGCAGGAGTGAGTGTGGTGTTTGCAGCTGGGATTAGAAAGCGAGCATGTAAGACGCGCAAGCATGCATGCTGTGCGATGGGACATGTGAGTGCAGTGCGCGTGGGAGTGTGAGCAAGTGTGAGTGCATGCACTGGTGAAAGAATGCATGTGTGACTGTGCAAGAGTGCGCCTTACATGGGGCTTTCAGTGGAAAGGTTGGTGATGCTGGCGGGTATGCTGCCGAAAAGATAGTTCCAGGCCAGGGACCTGAAGGCGGCGGGGGATAGAATGGGTGGAGCAGCGGCGGGAAAAAAAGGTGTTTTTAGACGTCTCAAAAACACCCTTTTTCACGATGCTGGAGGGTATGCTGCTGTGTAGATAGGACGGGTGGTGGCTGCGGTAGGCAGATGGTTGGGCTTCGATGGGGGTAGATGCCACCGAGCTGCTCAGAGGCTGTCTGGAGTAAGGATACGGCATGAGGGGCTCACAGGAATACGAGACTGGGAAGGGAGCCTAGCTCTGCAGGGATGTCACCAGAGAGATGGTTGTCACTCAGGTCCCTGTGTGTGTGCGTGCGTGGGTGCGGGAGCGCATGCGTGTGCGGGTGTGTGTGCATGTGTGTGTGTGTGTGTGTGTGTGTGTGTGTGTGTGCGTGTGTGTGTGTGTGTGTGTGCATGCGTGTGTGGTGTGGGGGAAGGGAAGGGGGAGAAGGAGAGGACACTTTTTAAATGGGCGCAAATGCAGATGAAAGTAAGAGTGTGACGAAAAATGTGATCCTCAGAAACAGAGGCGAGAAGAGAAGCGTTGGCAGGAAGCGGAGGGGCTAATGGAGGAACTCACAGGGTTACCAGATTCTTGAAATCACCTTTGAGAATTCTCAAAAGTGATTTCGAGAAGCGTTGGCGGGAAGCGGAGGGGCTAACGAGTGCACGGAGGAACTCACAGGGTTACCATACTCTTCATTAAGTCAAGTTTTGAAGGGATGCTTCCGACTAGCTTGTTGTGAGAGAGGTTCCTGCAGAATATAAACGTGATAGGGGGATGGGGTAATGGGAGGATGGTGTGATGGGGCTTTTGAGGCGCCTCAAAAGATGTTTCCGAAGAGCTTGTTGTCGAAGGAAAAGCGGAGAAAAGGAGCGCGAGGGGAGGGCGATATCACGGGTATGGATGAAGGAGAAGAGGAGAGGGCGAGTGGTGGGTGAAGAGGAGAGGAGAGACTTAGGACATGCAGAGGGAGGCAGGGAGAGCGAAAGAGAGAGCAAGGCGGCAGAAGAGAGAGCAGCTAGCAGAGGAGAGGGTTGAGGGCGCAAGTGGCACAAGCAAGCGCTCTCCTTGAAATGGAAACGAGGTGGGCTGGGAGGAGGTGAGCACTCACGCACGCGGGCGGGCGTGCGGGCAGGCGTGCGTGCGGCCGGGAGGGCAGGCGGGCGGGCGGGCAGGCGGGCGGGCAGGCGGGCGGGCAGGCGGGCGGGCAGGCAGGCAGGCAGCCCCAGCCAAGGAAGTGATAGGAAAACCGGTTAGGAAGGGTTAGGCAGGCAGGCAGGCAGGCAGGCAGGTAGGTAGGTAGGTAGGTAGGTAGGTAGGTAGGTAGGTAGGTAGGTAGGCAGGCAAGTAGGCTGGCAGACTTGTGTCTCTAGAGAAGGCTATAACTACAAGGGGGGGAGTACGGCCACAGCACGAGACGAAACGAGAGCAACACGCTTGGCTGAAATGAGCAGCAAAGGATGAAACAAGCAGAACAACTGAAGAAGCCTGGAAAGGCAGAGAGAACCACGCACTGCACAAGCAAGCATGCGCACTAGCAGACGCGAAATTTGAGATTTCTAAACCATTCGTTAGAATCCTCAGAATCGCTCACCGGAGAAGAGAGAACCAAGCGCTGCACAAGCAAGTGTGCGTACTAGCAGACGCAGAATCAGCACTGCTGATGACGATGGGCGGCGTCGGCTTACAAGGATTGAAGCGAGGTGAGGCTACTTAAGCCTGACGGCAGATAGCCAGTGATGCCCTTGTGTGCCAGATTGCTGGTGGGACGAGTGGAGGCAAGAGGCAGCGTTGGTCCCGGTGGGGAGGAAGGAAGAGGAGGGGGCGGGAGGGTGAGACAATGAGGGAAGGTATAAGGGGGGGGGGGTGTAAGAGGAGGGGCGAGAGAGGCAAAGATCGCAGCATGCAACCATGCCATGCCATGGCATGCCATGATGCAACTGCCGTTCAACGCGCAACATGCGTTTGCAACCCAACAGAACTCTACTATCAGTTTCCATGGGAGGAAAAGGAACGAGCACGCAGTTGGTTCAATGGCTGGTTGGGTAGTAGCGGTGCGGCGGATCTCACAGCTTAACAATCATGCCGTTTTCATCGCAGGAGACAAACTCCAGTGCCCCGCAGTCCCAGTTGGAGTTGGAGTCGTCAGCCGGCCACGTCGCTGAGGGATTGCCCCACGCGTCCTGGCAGTCCCGCAGGAATTGCACTGCGAGATGGAGAGGGAGGAGGGGGGAGGAGGGGGGAGGAGGAGGGAGGAGGAGGGAGGAGGAGGGCAAGGGCAAGTGAGTGCCACTGGGTACGGATTGAGCCTTCGTGGCACCAGTACTGAACGTCGCGGCAGAACGAGAGGCACAGGGAGATGCACGACGAGCGGCAGTAGCAGGTCATAATGCGGCGCACCTTGAGATTCCGCCAGGATTGGACCGCCGTCCACCCCGTTAACGCCGGCCATTGCAATCACCACCACCACCACCGCTGCCACCGCCACGGCGCGCGGCCACGGCGACGCGGCGAGCGTCGGTGCGCGGCGCTGCGGCGGAGCCCGCCGATTCGGAGTAGTAGGCAACGCCATGATCGTGTTGCGCGCCGCGGCGGTGGACGCCGCGGGGGACTTCGCGGGGGATGCCGCGGGGGACGCCGCGGGAAACGAGCGCATTGTACAGCTTGGGAAGTTCCAACGGTCGGATTGTAGCACGGGGCTTGCGGTCCCACCGTGGAATAAGAGCCGCGGACCACGTGACGATAGGTTGCTCTCGCTCTGATTGTGGATGGTGGCTCGGCGGGTGAAAAAAATCCGGCAGCACGAGTGTCAGGCCTGAAAGATTTGGGAGTTACTACTAGTAGCGGTGGTAAGGTTCGGACTGCCTGTTCGAAACAACGGCTCAAGACACGTTCACTACAAGAGCTCCTGACGGCTCTATTAGTAGTGAAAGCAGTGACGATCCGAGCTTCGTGGGGAAGGAGGTACAGGCGGAAGGGTGTGAGCGTCATGGTCACCATGTTGCGACTGTCTACAGGTTCAGCTCGGTACCAGTGTGACGGTGCGGGTGGCGCTGGGACGGGGCTGCTTGACGCTCAACGCGGTCCGTTACGACGAATTGGAACTTGGAACGCGTTCCCACGGGTTAATTTGGGGGAACGCGTCCGAGACTGTCATCGCCGCATTCAAACGAACTGTATCACGCATTTGCGTGCGTAACCGCAAGAAACCTGCTGTGAAATGAGCCCCAAGAGTCGAGATTAATGCGCGATCGCGCACACACCACGGCCGGCGATGGTAAGGTACTGTACTGATGAATCGCGTTGAGGGGCAAACAGCGGGACTTGCGGTGAAGAGGAGGCACTCTTTGACTAGGGGGAAAAGATCAACCAGGGGCCGAACAGTGCCGGAGGGGTGATCAAAGTAGGGCCGGTAAATCTCGACCGTAGGATTTCAACCCAGAGCTGCCCAACGACTAGGCGAACAAGCCGAACCGTGAGTAAAAGGGATTTGCTTGACGAACCGAATTGTGTACTCATTTAATTTGTTTAGGGTTTTGACCTCCGTCTACTACAGCGCGCGCGTCGCCTTCTTCTGGAAGTAAAATTAGGCATGTCAAATCGTGAGTACGAATAACATATTATATTCTGGGTGATACATATCACCTAACCGATCGTAAATGCACAGGAAAATAATATATTACCCATTCGGAAACGGATGCGACTCGGGAGGCATCAACCCTAAATACCAGGAAGTTTTCAATTTTTAGGGTTGATCCGTCCCGAAAATGCATCCAGGGTCTCTTTGAGTTTTAGTTTTTTTTGGCTGCCCTAAGAGTTTCCAGTAGACTCGGCTCGCTAAACGACACGCGAGCGAAAATGCGAGCCGGTACATGGCCCTAATAACATTTACGTGCAATAAACGAAGACCCTCTATTAATTGCTCCTTGCGCAGCGGTTTGGTAAGTTCCGGACCTCTTGGCCCCTGGTTGATCACCCCTCTGGCACTGTTCGGCCCCTCGTTGATCTTTTCCCTTGACTAGGATATGTATGGTACTGAATGGGATGAGGAAATGACCAATCACCGATTACCTGATTATTATGCCGCATACAGTATCACTTCCATCTCTCTAAGCTATCCCAAGCAATTGAGATCAACTACTCTAAAACGAGTAGAAAACATGTACAAAACAACGATTGTGTGAGATGGCAGTCGTCTACGCTAATGCAACGATGTATGGCATACCAAGGACACGAGACTTGAGGATTGTTTTGAGCAGCTGTTTCCAGCGGGTACCTGGGATCACGATTCAGAAAAGTCGCAGATGGCCCGCCTGCAGCTGCACCTTCCTGCCAGACTAGGGGGTTTTGGCATACGACCTGCAGCTGACCTCAGTCCTTTGCCGTACGCATGTGGCTGGTGCCAGGTAGTGAGCGATGTGGCTCGGATGGGGGTGGCAGGGGAGGAGCGGATGTATGAGGAGTTTTTCCGCACGCTTGAGGCTACGACATTGCTGGATCCCTGGTTTCCGAAAGCGGTGGAGCTACTTCCACAGCCGGTCCGGTAGGAGATGCCGCCCCTTGCCTTGTGCACCGCTGACTCCCCACTGCTGCTTTTCCCTACGCAACACCGTCGCTTAGCGGTCGAGAGCATGCAGTCTCTTCGAGGCATGGCCCACGACGATGCCACCCTGGCCCATTTGACATCCCTTCAGGGCCCGAGGGCGGGGGCGTGAGTTTCTGCCGTTCCGTCGCATGAAGAGGCTACCTTCACCGCAGCTGAGTGGAGCATCTGTGCGGCCATGCGCCTAGGCCTCCCTATACAGAAGCTGATAATCGCCGGCAAGTGCGCCTGTGGGGTTGAGTTTTTTTTTCCTTCTGATCCCCATCATGCCCTCCGCTGCAAGCATCAGTATGCACCTTTTCGGGTTCACGACGCGGTTAAGTTTGTGGTGGCGAAGATAGCTAAAGGGGCGGGTGGGGTCGTGACTATGGAAGATGGCACGCTGCTGCCAGGGAAGAAAATGGATGTGGCGGTTCGGGGACTAGGGGAGGGGGAGGAGCATGCGCTGGAGGTTAGTGTTGTAGACCCTAACTTGTTGTCAGCGCAGCATCACAGACAGATTGGCCGCAAGGTGGGTTTTGCCGCTAGAGAGAGGGAAAGGCGAAAGGCGGCGGATTACAAATCGCTTTGCAACGGCATAGGGGAGTACAGTTCGCGCCTCTCATTGCAGAGACCTGGGGATGTCTGGGGGGGAGCTTTGGACGGTGGCTTAAGAAACAGGGCGACGCGCAGATTGAGGCAGCGAAGACGAAAGGTGCGGCGAGGGCTACGGAAAATGGTTTTTTTTTTCTGCTTATCTGTCCGGGTCGCTTAGAGCAGCCATTGGGGTGGCATTGCAGCGAGCTCAGGCGCGTGCGATCTTGTTACGCGCGGCGTCAATGATGAGAGGCCCAGATGTTGTTTGGGTGGAGCGGGAGCATATCAAGGAGGAGGTTGGGTGGGATGCTCCGTGTGTGGATGCGCTCGACTTGGTAGATATGCGGGTATAGAGGTTTGGTTAGATGGGGTGTCGTGATGGGGTGTCTTGATGGGGTATCTCGACAGGGTGTTTTGATGGGGTGCCTTGATGGGATGTCTTGATGGGGTTCCTTACGTGTCGTGACATTGTGGTCTTTCGGCGGTTGTACTTTCACTCCCTTTTCACCTCCCTTTCCCTCTACTTTATCATTCTCTTTCCCTCACCACTCACTTTCCCTGCGCTGTCCTGCTCCCTTGCTGTATTTCTGTACCTTTTTATAACTTATGATTACCTGATTATTATACCACATACAGTATCAGTACCATCCCTCTAAGCTATCCTAAGCAATTGACATAAACTATTCTAAAACGAGTCGAAATTATGTACAAAACAAAGATTGTGTAAGAATCATGGTAGTCGTCTACGCCAATGCAAATCTACGATGTATCACATACCTGCTCGTGGAGCGCACCACCCGTCATCTTGTGCCGACTTTTCTCGTTTAATCTATACAACTTCAGCATCGCTCCTCATGGGTGCTGCTCGTAAGCAGGCCGCGGACGCGTATGTGAAGGGGCTAGGAAGCTGATTGTGGACTTTGAGAATGGATCTATGCGCGGGGTAAGTTGCGATGTGGGCAGGTCGTCTTTAAAGCAAGGGTGCACATTCTTAGGGGTGATTTTGGAGAATGTGCTGGTGAACTAAAATCGAATTCGTCCGCGAATGGGTTGGGGGAACAGTCGACAGAAGGGGAGGCAAGTGATAAACCTTTGCCACCACCCCCCCCCAAAGTGCACCCTTGCTTTAAGGAGGGGAAAAGGGGGAGGGGGAATCGAGAGGAAGAATTTCGTGGGATTCGTTTGGACAGGTAAGTGTGCGCTCTGCATGGATTTTGCTGGATGGATTGAGTGCAGCAGAGGGATGGCGGAAATGGAGGTGGGGATTGGATGGGGGAGATATTATTCTCACGGTGTCGTTCCCAACCCACCTTCTTCATCCACAACCCCCTCTTCTCTCTTCCCCATGCTTCTCCTCTTCCTCCCTCTACCCAGATCCTCTCTACCCAACCTTCCCCTCGCACTACCCAACCCCTTCGTCTCCCTCTCTATGTATCATCATCTCCCTCCCATTTTCCCTTTCCCTCCCTACAACCCTTCCCCACTCCCTCCCTACACCCCTCGCCCTCCCTCCCTGCACCCCTCCCTTTCTCCCTTCCCCATCCATTTCCCTTCCCTCGCAGGTGGCGAGCTTCGGAGCAGTGCTGCCGAGCCACAACGTGGTGACGACGTCGTTCGTCCCGCACGACACACATGAGGCGCAGGTGCAGTTCGCGCTGGAGCGCGGCGTGCCTGCTATGCTATGCATCATGGCCACCAAGCCCCAACCCTACCCCGCGCGCACGTTCGACCTCGCTCACTGCTCCCGCTGCCTCATCCCATGGTCCATTGAATGTGAGGGGTGGGCGGGAGAGGGGGGAAGGGGGATGGGCAGAAAGGAGGTGCGGGGGGAGTGAGTGTGGAAAAGGTGAAAGAAGGAGGATGAGCAATGGGCGGACACTAGGACTTTTGGACAATTATGGATGCAACCTACATAAGCCATTCGTTTCCCCTCCTTTCTCCCTCCCTCCCCTCCCCTCCCCTCCCCCCCCACTCTTCGTCCTTCCTCATCCTCAAAACCTCGATTCGTCACCCTCCCTTCTCGTCACTCTCCACTGCCGATCCCCCAACTTCCCCCTCCTCCTCCCCATGTGTGCTCTACTTTCTCAGTGTATACCAGCGCAAGCATCCCCCCTTGACACCGTACCCTCTCCCCACTCTCACCCCCTACCCCTTCCTCCCCAGGAGGGCTCTACCTAATCAAGGTTGATCGGCTGCTCCGCCCCGGTGGCTACTGGGTGCTCTCAGGCCCGCCAGTGGACTGGCAACACCACAACAAGCACTGGGACAAGCCATAATCCAAGATGCGTGCACAGGAGGACGGCATAATTGTCGTCGCCACTGCACTCTACTGGTGCAAGGTTGGGCAGAAGGACGATGTAGCTGTGTGGCAGAAGCGCGCAGACGACTCGTGCTTCGCTGGAAAGAAAGGAGAGGCGAGGAGGAGGCGGCTGGGAGAGCTCGTGGGGGAAGCGGCTGCACGGCGTGTGCTGGCAGGAGGAGGGGGAGGAGGGGCGGATGGTCAGTGGCAGAGGTGCATCTGGAGTTATGCTCTGAGTCTGATAATCCCGATGACGCCTGGTATACCCCCATGAAGTGCTGTGTATCCCACACCCCGCTCTCCTCCTCCCCCCTCGCCCCCTGGCCCAAGCGCCTCGCTCAAGCCCCCCCCTCGCATCAAATGCGCATCTCCCGCTGCCGCAGCCGCTGCTGACGGCGCTGCGACAGATGATCAGTGTTAGCGGTGGTGCTGAGCAGGTTGCGGAGGCGAACGGCGTGGTGCATGGCGAAAGGCCAGTGCTTAGCGTCAACGTCACTCTGATGCAGGAGGGTGTGAACCTTGGTCATCAGTGTGCGGTTGGTGCGCTCAGCGACGCCTTGTTGTGGGTGTGCGTAGGGTAAGGAGAGCTTGTGAACAATCCCTTTTTCCTGAACGCATGCCGCCAGCCTATCGCTCTTGAACTCGGCCGCGCAGTCGGTTTGCTACAGTTTGAGTTTGCAGACAGACTGAGTCTCGGCGTTGCTGCGCCAGACCTTGAAGATATCATATGCCCTGCTCCTGTGAGAGACATTTGCCACCCAGACGAAGCGAGAGTGGGCATCGACGAAGGTAAGGGTATATTCCTTGCCGTTGATGCCTATCTGGGTTAGAACAAGAAGCCGATGTAAACTTTCTGGAGCTTGGCGTAGCGGTTCGTGCTTGGCTCGAGGAGCTTGAAGGGCTTGTGGTTCAGCGTGGCTTCAGGGCTGACTGTGCAGTCGGTGCGGCAATTGGTGTCAACGGTGACAGGTACCGTTAGGGCGGAGCAGTGTGTCAGGAATGAAGACTTTGGCGCGAATTCGGTTGTTGAGAACTTCCTGCGAGGGGTGACCGAGGCGCTTGTGCCAGAGGTCAGGTGGCGCGCGAAGTGCGGGTGAGTGTGCAAAGAAGGCGAGCAGTTCGGCGGTGTTGGTTGGTGTAGGTTGTTGAAGTGGGTTGGGTGAGATGGAGAGACCGAGAGCAAGAATGAGGTCTCGAGCAATGAGCTGTGGTGCTGGACTATGAGGATAGGCGTTGTAGGGCAGTACAGTTTCGTGGTTAGAGGGGGGTCTAGAGGATTTGGAGGAGGTCTAGGAGTTGTTGGAGGATGAGTGTCCTGTGGGGTGTTTTCCTAGGGGTTTTGGGGAGCCATATGGGCCAGCGGCTTCAGCTGCTGTTTCCTTCTCCATGCGGGCTATGAAGTACTCTATCGGCTCCTCCTCCTCGGCTGTGGTAGGTCCCCATGGTCCGGCTGCTGTGCTGCTTCCGGTTCCCCAAGCGGTGTTAGTAGCTGCTGGTGCAATCGTTCCCCAAGCAGCTGCGCCAGTGCTTGTGCCCTAGCCCTTGTTGGCGGCTGCTGCTGCCGCTGCTGCCTCCTCATCTGCACGACGACAATTTTCCTCTTCCTCGCGCCGTTGCAACTCCTCAGATGTCATGGTACGGCGGGACCAGGGCCGAGTCACATGATAAGTTTCCCAGTCCAGACGGAGGGGGTTGTAGTTGATGTCAAAGGCTCCAGGTCTTGTGTAGAGAGTTAAGAGGTGGAGGAGGTCGTGCACGGTGGGATCATCGAGAATTTTGCGAGGCTGATGGATGGTAAGGGCTGCAGCGAGTTCACCAGTTCTCATTCTAGCGACGTGTGGGGTCTGCCATTCTGCTTCTTCAACAATATCCAGAGGAGCTGATGGTTCTTCTTCTGATTCTGCTTCCTCAAATGACTCCTCAGGAGGCCCTGCTTCCTCATCGTCGCTGACTTTTGCTTTCCCTTTTCTTCAGCCGTTGTTCTGTGTTTCTCGACTGCGGGTGACGTTCCCCCATTTTCAGCTGGTGCCTTGCCCTTCTTGTCCGCCGGTGCGTTGCATTGTCTTCTGTGGTGGAGGCTGTGGGGGTGCGGCAGTTGCGACAGAGTGTATCAGGTCCAGAAGCATGCATATCAATCTCCCTGGGGTGAGCGTGATGTTTGACCCAGGGGCGCCCATCAGGATGTGCGAGTTCATATGGCGACACAGCCTGCTGTGGTTGGAGGTCGATGAGATCTTCATAATCGGCGCGACAGTCTGGAATGTCAAATTTCAGGATGTAGACGCCGTTGTGTGGGCACGCCTTGCCGATGTAGCGCGGCTTGCTGTCGCTGATGCTGTAGTCTTTCCAGTGCATTAGAATGCATCGGCTCTCTGGGTCTGTGCTCACGAGACACCGCTGTGGATGAGTTGTTCGTAGGAAAGCAAGTTATACTTCAGGTCCTACACCATGAGTGCGTCGTTCAGCATGATGTGGATGTCGCTGTCGCGCGCCCTTGAGAACAACGATACTGCAGGCGCATGCTTCGAGTTGCAGGTTGTTGGCCACTGTGACAACGGTGGGTTGTGAGTTGGGACGTGTGTTGGAGATGAAGGGCTTGGACCCGATTATGTGTTGTCCGCAACAGCTGTAAAGGTACCACGTGTTGTATGTGCCAGGTCGACTCAGTGCTGAGTGTTATAGTCACAATAGGCTCAAATGTGCCTAAAACGAAAGATAGAGTGCACAGTCGGATTTTCTGCACATCGGCTTTAAACGTTCATAGCGTTCTGGTCACATCTCCAAATGAACTGATTCAAATGTTAAGATAGTAGGTAGAGGCATGAAAGTAGGAACCCTAGACATGGCGAGAGTTAGGAACGAGAGTCGAGAGAGAAGGCCAAAAGAGGGGTTTCACTATAGACTCAAAGGTACAAATAGGCAAGAAGCATGACAAGAAGGTGCACCACCAAACAAGATGATTAGGATAACTACACTACAGCTAGAACGACATGCAGTTATAACAATATAATTCTGACATCCCCCCATAACTGCATGCAGGAATAGCCAAGTGCAAGACACAACCTGCAGGGGTACATCACAGACAGAGAAAACAGCAACAGCAGGCAAGAGCAGTTGCAACCAGTGCAGTGGTGGCAGATTCAGCTGCACCAACCCCTCAGCCAAGATAGAAACAGCAGAAGCAAGTGTAGGGGCGGCAGGTCGCCTGAGGAGAAGGCTCTGTGGCTGCAACGTGCAGCAGGACAGCAGCGGCTCGACGGCAGCACCTACAGGCCCCAGCAGCAGGCAGCAGAAGACAGGTCAGGTGGCGACAGGGGCGACAGCTGGAGGTGCCACAGTAGCAGCTAGCGGCAGCAGCAGATGGCCGGCTGAATTCCGCCTCCCCCTCACCCTCACCCCCACAGCGGCACACGCGGCAGTGCGAGAGAGAGGAGGAGGGGCGGCTGCTGGCTCGGCAGAATCTCTCTCGCCACCCCCTCACACTCCCCCCCTTCCCCCACAGCGAATGGCACTGCAGGAAGAGAGAGGAGAGAGGAGAGCGGCGGCTGGTTCCTGCGGGTACACTCCCGCCACTCCTTCACCCTCCCCCCCACAGCGACAGTCGCGTATGGGGCGAGAAAGGGCGACGGCAGGCGCTGCTGGCGTCTCACAGCGGTCACCCCATCACGCCACCTCCCCCACTGTCCGCCACCGCCTCCCTCGTGCCTCCACTGCCCGCCACTCCCACATCCCCCCACAGCAGGAGCACTCACGGCAGTTGCAGCGGGGCCGACGGGAGGGCGGGTGAGGAAGGCTGCTGGAGCGCGATGGGCGGGGAGGGGGGACGTAACGCGAGGCTCGCCAGGGGTCGCGGGTGCAGCACGTCGGGCAGAAGCAGGCGACACCGCGAATGGCAGGCGATCGCGCACTCGACGGGCCGGTGAAAGTGCGGCGCGACGAGCAGGGCCGCCGACGACGAGCGCCAAGCTCGCCGCGCTGGTCGCCGCGACCGTCACTAAGCAGGCCGCGACCGTCGTGACGTGGCGAGCAGGACGCGACGGGGCCAGCAAGGCGGACGCCATGCAAGGATTAAAATGCGGTGGGCCCATGAAGGTCGTAACCACTCTAATTGTCAGAATATTGTGAACTTTAAACTATTGCTTCTTGAACTTGTGCTCAGAATGTGTGGTGACATTGTGATCCACCCTGAGCTTGTACTGCTTTGCTTGCTCTGCTGATTACACCCCACTTTGGCTATGGGGGTGTGTCAGAATATTATGCTCTAGCCTGTAGTGGGGTGCTCTATAGCGAGTACAACCCTTCTAGGGTTTGCTATTTGTATCCTCATTCTTGCTAGTGCAACCTCTCCTTCTTTGCCTAAACTGTTTCTTGCCTAGCTAGGGCTTTCCTAGCTATGGCGCCTTCTTCTACTGCTTACTTTCACACTAATACCATGTTAAGATAGTAGGTAGAGGCATGAAAGTAGGAACCCTAG